CGGGGGGGGGGGGGGGGCTCTGCCGGGGGGTGGGGGGCTGGCGGGGGGGGGGGCGCATGTGGGGCTGGAGGGACCCACGGTTGGGGGTCATCGCCTCGGGGACATCGGGGACCCGCTGCAGGAGGGACCCCGGGGTTCGGGGCGGGGGGGTGGGGGGGGCGGGGGTCGCGCCGTGGGGCAGGCCGTGGGGGCAGGGACCCACGGGTGCCCCCCCGCAGGCGCAGGGGGCCGTGGGGGTGCTGTTCAACGTGGGGACCGAGGACATCGCGCTGGAGGAGCGGGGGGCGGCCGTCAGCGACGGGCGCTTCCACGTCGTCCGCTTCACCCGCAGCGGCGGCAACGCCACCCTCCAGGTGGACGGCGGCCCCCTGCACGAGCGCTACCCCCCAGGTACCACCCCCCCCGGCACCGACAGCTCCCCGGGGCCACCCCACAGCACCTATAGGCGCCCGGAGCACGTAGAGACACCCCACGGCACCCATGGGCGCTTAGAGACGGCCCAGAGACACCCTATGGAACCCATGGGCACTTAGAGACACCCTATGGTGCCCATAGGTGCCTGGAGCATGTAGAGACACCCTATGGCACCCATAGGCACCCGGAGCGCGTAGAGACACCCCCTGGCACCCATAGGTGCCCAGAGCGCGTAGAGACACCCCATGGCACCCATAGGCACTTAGAGACAGCCCAGAGACGCTGCACAGCACCCACAGGCACCCTGTAGCACCCCTATAGCATCTATAGGCACCCCATAGCACCCAGAGGTACCCTGTAGGACTTGCAAACATACCATAGCACCTGGAAACACCTTATAGCACCCTATAGCGCCTATGGGCACCCCACAGGGCTTGGAGACACCCTATAGCGTCACTGTAGCATCTTCAGACACCCCACAGCAAGTGGAAACACCCTATAGCACCCCATAGCGCCTGTGGGCACCCCATATCTCACAGAGACGCCCTATAGCATCCCCGTAGTGCCTACTGGCACCCCATAGCACCTATAGGCACCCCACAATGCTTAGAGACACCCTGTAGCACCTGGGAACACCCACAGACACCCCACAGCTCCCCTACAGCACCTGCAGACACCCTATGGCCCTCCCTATAGGCCCCCCCCATAGCCCCCATACCCTCTGTGCGTGCCAGAACCCCCACCCCCATGCTAACAAGCTGCCCCTCCCCTAATTAAGGGCACCAACCACCTAACGAGGGCGCTAACGAAGGGCAGCGTGCCGCCACCGTGGCTGTGAGGGGACCCAGGCGTCCGGGCGGCCCCGCC